GGTTAAAGTTTTTTGTAAAGTCAAATAATTTCTCAATTATTGCTAGAGATATTCAAATGAAACTTACAATACTTATTTATAATCAGACAAGCCACACAAACACGAACATTTAGTAATTTAATTTAATTGCAAACGTTTCGGCTATATGCCTTCATCAGTGCAAAACATAATAAAATTACCGGAAGCGACGTCATAACGGAACACGCGTTAAACGCGCGAAAAACGTTATGGCGTTTAGCGGCAAAACTATGATAACATGTAGAAACAAATATTTATGCTATAAATAAAGCTGGTACATGAATTAAAATGGATCAACAGTGATACAGATGTCTATTAGACAGTGTTAATAAAAATAAGATAATAGACAAACATATTAATATTCATGTAACATATTATAAATCAAACAATACTTTATTATTTAGTCCATTTGGAATCATAGTATTTAATTTATGAATCCAAAAAGATTCTTTACATAACCGGTCCATGTTGTTGTCTATAATTTCTATGGGTAAAAATGAAAAATCTGACAATGAACACTTATTATCGTTTGATCCGAAATGGATCGCAACATGTGAAACTGGATTAACGTCACAATTTCTTATATCAAATCTATGTTTATTCATTCTGCATGATACATTTTGATTAGTCTGACCTACGTATTGCTTTTTACAGCCTTTACATGTAATGAGGTAAATTACATTACGCGTAGTACAATTAACATCATTGTGTAAATCAAAAGAACTACCTGTTATGCTGCTATTAAATTGGGAACCAACAATTATATTGTTACAATGTGAACATCTACTTCGTAAACATTGGCTAGATAAAAATGTGCGATCAAGTAAAGCACTTCTAATAAGATAATCTCGAATGTTTTAGGACGTCTATATGCTAAAATAGGTTTGAACTTGTTATGTATATTTTTAACGCTTACCTTATCAGACAAAAGTAATAGATCCCAATATTTATTTAAGATTTCACCAATATTAGGCAGAGATGTATTAAAACATACAGTAAAAGGTATTATTGAACTAGTATTTTTAACGACAGGACTTAGAGCATCATTTTGGGACATGCCTTCAATTTTAGAAAACGCTTTCTCAATAATAGATTTAGGATAATTTCTATCAGAAAAATATCTATTTAACGTATCTAAAGACTGCTTAAAAGTACCGTCATCGGAAATGACACGTCTATAACGTTTAGCTTGACTAAACGGGATACCACGCTTACATGATAAAGGATGAGAGGATGTAAAATCTAAATACAAATGCATATTTGTAGGTTTGCAAAATATATCGGTAACAATTTTTCCTGTTACGTCTTTAGATACAGAAACATCAAGAAAAGGTACCGAACTTTTAGAAATATTGTAAGTGAATTTAATATTCGGGTGGAAACTATTTAAGGAATCTATAAAAAAGTTAAGCGTTTCCAAAGAATCATTCCAAATCATAAAAATATCATCTAGGAAACGTAACCAGACATCAGGTTTTACATAAGTAGAGTTAAGAAATTGCTCTTCTAGTCTACCCATGAATAATGAAGCATAAGAAGGTGCCATAGGGCTTCCCATTGCTGTGCCCATGGTTTGTAAATAACTCTGATCGTTAAACTCAAAGCAATTATTATGTAAAACAATATTTAACAATTTCCTTATATCATTAGCTTTGATGTTATTGTTTCCTTTATCTTTCTGTAAAAAATATATACAAGATTCAATACCTTCATTATGAGGGATATTTGTGTATAATGATGAAACATCAAGGGTAACTAGATAGGTGTCTTTGTTTAATTTAAGATTACGAACCTTATTTATGAAGTCGGTGGTATCCTTGATATAGGAAGGCAAACTTTGCATATAAGGATTTAAAATAAAGTCTAGGTATTTCGCTATGTTCTCAGTACTGGAGCTACATGCTGAAACAATGGGACGACCAGGGTATCCAAGAGGAAGTTTCTCATCATATGATTTATGCGTTTTCGGTAAAATGTAAAATTGAGGTGTACGAATAGTAGACGGGAACATGTCAAATTGTTTAGTAATGCTTACATATAGTAACTTATTTATAGTAACAAGGTACATCAGATTGACAAGTTGGATAACTCTGCCTACAATATTGACAGAATTATGCCCCTTTTTAACTTAGAAATTTTGGTAAAAGTTTTTTGTAAAGTCAAATGTCTCAATTATTGCTTGAGATATTCAAATGAAACTTACAATACTTATTTATAGTAACAAAGTACATCAGATTGACAAGTTGGATAACTCTGCCTACAATAATGACAGAATTATGCCCCTTTGGAACTTAGAAATTTTGGTTAAAGTTTTTTTGTAAAGTCAAATATCTCAATTATTGCTTGAGATATTCACTTGAAATTTAAAATACTTTTTTTATAGTAACAATTTTACATACCTCTATAACTATTAAAGATATTTATTTAAAACTTCACATTTAGGGTCATAATTGTAGGTCACTGACAAAGCTTGCATTTAGGCTGATTTTTCTCCCCTTTTTCAACTTAGAAATTCATGGTAAAGTTTTGTTTGTAAGCTGTTATCTCAATAACTACTGAAGGGTTTGTGCCTTTTTTGGGACAATTTTATGCATTCATAATAATAAAGCAGTGATTTACTTGATAAAACATCTTAATAACAAGCCTTTGTACCTTTTCTGTCAAAATTTATGTATTCATAGGTAATTAGTATTATTATACTCAATAAAACACCCTTGTGACATTACCTTCCGAATAGTCAAGCCAATACTGTATAATTAGACTCTCTCTAAGGCCTATAACATGAATTTATAAAAAAAAATTAGCCCTTTTGTGAACTTAAAAAATTTAACATTATTAAGGCTCTTTTACTATCAAGCACTTAGAATAGTCGAGCGTGCTGTCCTACCGACAGCTCTTGTTTAAAGGTATAGTTTATTTGTCCGCAACGGCGATTAAAAAAAATAACTTGACGAAATCCGCGGTAAATTTACATTTTTTTTATATAAAAAGCAGGTATTTGAAATTAATTATAATTATGGACACGTAATAAATTCAATTTCAAAATGAAAAAGAAGCCAATGTAAGTTATTCACAGTTGATCAAAGATGCAATATTTAAGATTTATTGGGTTATGTAGTCAAATTTATTAACGCACAATTGTTTTAAGGGTAATGTATTGCAGGCTTTACAATTCGCTCAACACGTGAAGAATTTACGACGTCACGTCATTAAGTTGGTACCCAGTATTGTGCACGCTGGTATTTCACTAAAACAACGTTAGGGGTTTAAATTCAAAACAGTGAAATGATCAAAGTGGTAATTTCACTGTTTCAAACAGTGAAATTACCAGTTTTAAATCACTGATATATTTCTATAAACCACCGAAAAGCGTGTAATAAACTCGCATATTTTGATTATTCTTTTGAATGCCTGTAGAAAGATATTTCTGATATTTTTTTAATGTAACACTAGAAAAACAATAAAAATCTTTACAGTTTGAGTCAGTATTATGCGGAATAAAAGTAACTGTTGATTATTTTTTACACATCGCCACGGATTTATATTGTAATATTATATAAATCTGTGACATCGCTTAAATGTCTTTGAAGTTTAATTACTTTTGAAGGGGGTTAATTACCAGGTAACAAGTGATAATTGAAAAACTTTATTTTCAACATTTCATTACCAGATTGCATGTGATAATTGCAACAATCAATCTTCAAAAACAAATAGAATTTGAATGTATATTTTGTATGTGCGCGGTCTTAAACTACAGTCCATTGTATGTGTAATAAGAAAATGATTCTGAAGATGATAGATATAAATACAATGTAAATCTATTTTCTTTATTAACATTTATAAATGAAATTGAAAATATACAAGTCCTTTCGTTGAAAAAATGAAAATAAACATATGACAAATAAATCATTTGACGGGAATTGTGAAGGATAACTATGAAAAATTTTGTGTCAACATAAAAAATAATATTATAAAACAGCTGATCTGTATGCCAATAAAAGTTTCTTCCTTGCCAATTTAATGAATTCATCTATGTATGAACGCTTTTTTCAATGATCTGAAAATATATTTGATACACTAATTAGTAGAATACTACATTTATACTAATATTCAGGTAATCAAATAAAAGATGTTCAAATCATTTGGAAATAATTCACAGAAAAAAAGACAAATTTCAAACATGAATTTCTTTAAAAGTTTTTAAGCAATCAAGAAACTTTTTTTTTGCATTGCAACCATTAAACCATGTAGAAATTAATTATCTTAATCTGAATCGCGGTAATAATTTGTGCTTGAAGTTAAAGGGCGTCAAAGTGTAGAGAGTATGCCTAAACAATAGACGAATATTTTTTAAATTAGGTACTATTTTAACTCAGCATTGCAGCGTTCTATCGGAATATTTTCATATATTAATGCTTTAGCGACACAAAATAATACTGTATAAATACATTAATATGTGTAAAAATTTTCACAAAGCTGCCATAACACCACAATCATACTCTTGTGAAAATCTGTCATATTTCGCACTCCGCGCGTTCTGCCATCTCTCATTCTGTCCACTTTATCCGATATGCGATTCCGCGCATGCGCGCGACGAGATTTTAAGCTTAACGATAGTGTCCGATCCTTGTAATATAAATCTGTAAGCCTATGAACGGGGAAGTCAGTTAAAAATCATTAAGTTTTCCGTTTTAAATGTGTCATTCGGTATTTCATGCACCACTTCCGTTTTCACTCGGAACACTCGATGATTATTATTAATCCGAAAAGTTGCGATTGTCCGTACATTGAAAATGGCGGCGCCCAACTAGAACTGACACTGAAAATTTCATTGATAGGTATAGAATTCTATATATTTTTTAATTGTTTTTTATTTGATTTCCCTTTAAATATACACGTGTAGTCTATAGCCGGGCAAGCCAAAGCCCGGGCCCGCTTCGCGGTCCCGGCCTTTGACTTCCCCGTATTACATGCACCGCTTCCGTTTTCACTCGGAACACTCGACGTTTATTATTTATCCGAAAAGTTGAGATTTGTTCCGTTATCGGAATACCCCGCCTATTATCATTGAGTTACATTGTAAATGGCGGCGCCCGACTAGAACTGACACTGAAAATTTCATTGATAGGTATAGAATTCTATATATTTTTTAATTGTTTTTTATTTGATTTTCTTTTAAATATACACGTGAAGTCTATAGCCGGGCAAGCCAAAGCCCGGACCCACTTCGCGGGCCCGGTCTTTGACTTCCCCGTATAATAAAATAATGACAGATTTCCCTGTGGTGGTACTTAATTGCAAACAGGACGTTTCGGCACCAAACTAAATAGGCCCCTAGACGTTTCGGCCCTTTTCCGCGAGACGTTTCCACAGACACTTGGGGTTTGGAGCTCAAAACGCCTTTAAAATCCAAATAAAATGCATATTTGTCAATCCCAGCACATGTACTGATCATATATATCAAAAAAACTTAATATAAGCCGTTTTGAAAAAAATTCATATTTCAACATCTATAATAATTATAGAGCACATACTAAATTTAAGGTCAATTAGTATATCATATGTGTCAGAATAATTTTGGTATAAAAAGTGAGTGAAAAGTCTTCAAGACATTTTATAAACGTCTCGGCCCTTTTAACTTTAAGTAATTTAAATATGCTGTTCATTTTTTAAAAACACGTAATTTTAACTTAGTATGGGAGCAATCCCATCTTATTCCTATCATTGGTTACGTACTTTTATACAAACTTGTGATAGGAATTATGGCACACACGTAAACACATGTACTGATAAAACTATAGCTAAATTAAATTAGTTCCCATATAAATAAAGTAAGTTTTAAATGAAGTATGTGCTCGCCCATATGGTTCATTCCGGTGACGGGGTAAATAAACCAAACACACTCACACTTCAAGACATTTCACTCCCATTTGGGAGTGAAACGTCTTGGTGTGAACCGTCTCAATAGTGAAACATCTGTCTACCCAAATGATGTATACAACATACCCATCTGCTGCCTTGTGAGTACAGTTGTGTTCTCATATTTCCAAGGCAATTATATTTTAACAGTTTCAAAAGCAAAACCAATAGTTATCCGGCCATAGTTATCTTAATTTTTTAGTACATCTATACCTAGCCTTGTCTGAAAGTGGGGATTTCCTCTATGGCATTTATCAAATATCTAAATGGTTGTTGAACAAAGACGACTGTCTTAAAAGTATAAAAACTAAAAGTAGAATGTTGAAATAATTTACTTTGCTTTTAATCTGAATAAAATAATAAGTTTTCTTAGTTGTATATATTACATTTCAATAAAAAAATGCAATAAGAAATTGAAAGTAAAACTGGCAGGTGCATGAAGTCTGTGAGGCACTTAACACTGTTTATGCCTAATACCTAGTACCACGTAAATATGAGGCACCACCGTAAGTTAACTAAAAAGTCACAATAGTCTGTTAGGCCATTTTTTAACTCGCCTGTCACAAAGTGAAATGGTGAGCTTTTTTTATCACAATTCGTCCGGTGTCCGTCTGTCCATAAACTTTTACTTTCATAAACTGCTAAGCCAATTTCATCCAAACTTCACTCTCACAGGAATGATCCTTTGGCTGTGGTCAATTGGTGGTCACCTTAAAAATTATTCAAAGAATTTAATTGCATGCCAACTCTGATTGCCATGGCAACCCAAAGAAAAAACTTAAAAAAGCTTCTTTAATAAAACCCAAAGACCTAAAGCTTAGATATTTGGCATGAAATATCTTCTAGTGATTGACCTTGATTAAAGGAGGTTATTTATTTTCGTTTTATGTATAAAGTAAAAACTTTAAAACTTTCTTTCCTTTTTTTTTAAAAAGCAAAAGAGCTAAGGCTTAGATATTTAGCATGAAACATCTTCTAGTTGTATCATAGTTTGGGGACCTTTCTGATGAAAATGTGTCAGAGTAAAATCAGATAGCCTGGTGTTTCCATGCTCTTTCTATTACTTAGTGTCTACCAAGTTTGTTCAAATAAAAGCCTAATATGTACTTATCTTTTTGAACTGTTGTTTTCCCTTAGCAATAGCAACCAGTAATATTTTTTACACATGAACTATTTTAGATAGAAATATGAACTTTGTGATATCAGTTTAAGAGTTAGATTTTATATTTGCTTTTGTATATAGATGTCATGTCCTTGTCATGGAGAGTTTTTATATTCAGTTGAGTGATTTCAGGCCCATCATGGCCCTCTTGTTCACAAATGCAATCCTGTTTTTTGCTAATATTACTTACAGAACCAATTAATAAACTTAATTTATGAATTATTTCAAAATAATCTTGGTTTAGATAAACATTAAACCTTCCGAACGCTTTGTCTGTATATGATGGTTTTTGTATTTTCTGATCGCAGATCAGTAAATACATAGCTAACATCCACGGTCTAACACAAAATTTCCTTACAGACCTAACAACGCAAAGTAGTTCTCACTCAAAACTGTTTAAAAACCAGCAATTTAAAAGAAAGAACAATTTTTTGTTACAAGTGTCCAACAAATTACTACACATTCAAACTTTAAAAGTAGCGTTGGCTTATAGAATTGTCAATAAATGCACACTCACAAATTACGCGGATGAATATGATTTTAATCAATGAAAATGCTATTTTTAGCGATGTCGATTACCGAATACTACACAAATAAATCTGAGTGCCGAGTAGTTGAATATATAGTTTCTACATGTTGGACTGTTTGGGCGAGAAGATTTTTGCTAAATTATTTACTTCAATTTTAAACAATAGGTTTACCCTGAACAAAATACCTCGACATTACCCTAACCCGAAATGCAATGGAAATTTTAATTTAGAATTACTTGATTTTGGCTTTAAAAACCCGAAATGCAATTTAGAATGACTTGATTTTATTCAGCCTTTGTTATTAAAACTTCTCTGTGGCGCAGGGGTAACGCACTCGTTTAGTGTGTGAGGTCTGGAGTTCAAGTCGAGTCAACATTTTTTTAAAATTCTTTTTTTAGTGTCTTCGTTAAGGAAATAGCCACGATATGCAAGGATAAAGTGTGGCTATCATAAAAAATGAACATAAATGATTTTTTGATGCAACTCTAGTTATGCAAAATTCCATATGTATCAAACTCTGGTGCCCTGCAAGATGAATTATAGTACATAAAAATAAACTTATACAGGAAAACACATACAGATATACAGTACGATTTAGATTGCAAAGATCAGAAAATACCACAGAGCTTGCAGCCCTTTGATTGAGCTTAGTTTTATTGATATAAATAAAAAAATGTCAATTAAGATATTTTTTTTCTATGTACCATAAATACCTAAATACATAATAATAATATACCACATTTACAATAAATGTAATCCTTTTGATTGTTTAAATTGAAAAATGATGCTTCTGGACGCTTCAGGATGCTTCCGGACCCTAAATTTCTTTGGGACGCTTTTTAGTGAGACCCCATTATTGTCACACCACTTACCTTTATTTAAAACAAAAAACTAAAATATTTTTCTTGAAAATTGTGACATTTAATACTGATACAGAAAAAATAGAAACCAACATGGAAATTTTTAATTGATTATTTCACAATTTTAGTACAATAACTACAGAGTACATAGTTGATTAGAAAATATTAAAAATCCAATACTTAAAACAAAGGTTATCTGAACAACTTGTCATTCAAGTACTTCTGCATCACTCAAAATATATACAGTAATTCCCTACACACAGGACTGGCGCTATTTTGTTCAAACCAATTGATTCTTCTGTCCAATGAAACATTATCTGTTGAATTTAAAAGAAATTAATGATGTGAATCTGATTGCGTTGAGTCCCTTTGTGAGAGAAAGTAAAAACCTGAAAATGAACATGATCAGGACAGTGAGAGACATTGAAAACTACATGTCATTGTTAAAATGTTTTTATTGGTAAGGGTAAATGAAGATTAAAAGTAAATACTGTATTTTAAGCACTGCCTATTTTAATTGGTCAAGATCAGGCTGGGTGACAATGTCCCTGGCAATCTGGGACATTCACAATTTCGAATTTGAAAAACGCCATTTTCTGGTACTTTCTGTACATTCTGGTGAATTCACCAAGTATTAGCAATATGTATGTTTTTGGCCTTTTTATGCCCCCGGCATATAGTAATTGAACTGTCCGTCCGTCTGTCTGTACGAGGTTAACCTAGAACGGCAAGTTGGATTTTTCTTAAGTTCTACTTGTACCAATGGCTTCTAAGTTTACACACTTACTAATCAATACAAAGTACATGATCTGGGCAAATTACATAACTCTGGCTTTCATATTTACCAAGTTATTGCCCTTTCAGCACTTAGAAAATGAATAATAGTTAACCTAAAACGGCAAGTTGGAAATATCTTAAGTTCTATCTATACTAATGGCTTTATAATTTCCACACTTATTATCAATACAAAGTACATGATATTGCCAAGTAATATAACTGTATCATCCATATTTCCCAGTTATTTCCCTTTTTCACTTTGAAAATAGGGCCTTGTCTGGTTAACCTATTTCGGCAAGTTGGATTTATCTTAAATTTCTCCTAATTGCTTAATTTCTTTAATGATATCTTTCATATTTAGTAGGTGGATACCTTTGATGGTCCTCTAATTTCTTGTGGAGTAAGCGGTCTCTAGGGTCAAGGTCAAGGTCACTGGTTTAAAAAATAAATCTAAACATTTTTGCTCATACAGCCTTTATTTTTTAGTTGATGTCTTAGTTTAATACAAACATGCGAAGGGAGGTCCTCCTTTTTCGGGTGTAGTAAGGGGTCATTTGGGTCAAGGTCAGTGTTACCAATGTCAAGGTCACCAATGTTAAAAATAGATTTTTACATTTTTACAGGTGTATTGACCTTATTCTATAGACAGATGTTATTTATAATTGATAGAAACATAAAGTTTGATGGAGTTAGTGGTCAGTTGGGTCAAGGTCACCAGTGCTAAAAATAGATTTTTACACATTTGCTCATACAGCCTTTATTAAGTGACAGATATATTTTATATTTGGTAGGAAGATAACTTGCATGGTATTCATCCTTTTGATTGGGGTAGGGATCAGTGGGTCAATGTCACTTGTGCTAAAAAAAGATTTTTACACTT